ATTTTTCATTTAATGAAAGTAAAGGAATTGAAAAATGGTTCTTAAAAATCACAACACTAACATTTTGAATTTCAATAAGATGTTGAAAATGTGTTTTTTTATCTCTATTGTTCTGCATTTCTCTGCAAGTTAAACAACACTGTGTGTATTGTTTTAGTTGCGTGTTCCGTTGAAACTGTTTAGTAAACAGGAACATGCTGAGCAGTGGGATGAAAAAGCCTAAAGCTCAGTGTTCGTTGCCTGATGACATAAAAAGTTTCATTGCTAAAACAATAAACTTTTATATTTAGTGATTGAAACGATGTCATTTTTGAGGTTACTTATTTATGATGACTGACAGTGGAATCCAGGGTGCTGATTTCGTTCATTTTAAGACTCATCAGCTAAACTGTCCTGCTGTCGAGTGAGTGGAGGTGTTCCACTGAGACGCCTAGCCAACACACATCATTTCGAAAACCGAGTCTTTATCCACTAGTTCAGTGTACCTCAGGAATCATATCCTTTACAACGACACACGAATAGAGCTTGTCCACTGTGGTACAGTATAATTCCATTGTGGATTAGATTTATTTTAATAAAGTCTCATAGTGTTATACAGTAAAATTTACTGATGACGTTTCGAGCACAATCTGTCACTTCTCATAATCATACCAAGTTACTTAAATAACTTTCCAACTTCATGAATATTATTCCATTATTTTCCATCGCTTTGATTTCCAATCGTCTCACCCTTTGTCAGTAAAAATATAATTGGAGAACTGCTTGAGTAATAGGGCACAAAAACTAGTTAGTAGCAAGGAAAACCTTAGGCAGGAAGTGAGGCATATAAGGGAAGCTGTGAAAATTAATAATCACCCTGATAAATCATTCAGGAAGTATGTAAGATGAATAGGATTAATAGTGTGTAGGTCGGTGAAATAGAGGTAGAATGCTGGCCAGCCAGGTGGTTCGGGGTTCGATCCCCAATCGACGCACTCCTTCACCTCGCTAAGCCAGGTATAAGACTGGTAAAAAGGGGAGGTTGGGCTTGAGGCTAGCAAACCCATCCCGTAAAAAAGTAAACACAACTGCAACCGAAACTTGAAGCCTCTAGCTTGAAACCCTATGTTCCTCTGCGAACGTAAAGCAATAAAACAACAAGGAAGATTAATAATACTAATAGTGACAGTGATAAGAATAATATTAGTTAGGATATTCATATCAAACATGCACAGAATGACAACAACAGCAACAAAAGGGAATGTAAATTACTCTTAGTAATTCTATACAAGGACGGAACTTCGGAAACTACCTTACGCAGAGTTCTTAACAAGGCAGGAATAAAAGTGGCTGGCATTCAAACCCACAAACTCAGTTAGAAGCATCCTTTATCGGTTAACGGATCCTGTGAAGCCAATTAAACAAAACAATTTAGTTTATCTAATAACCCGCTGGGATGATTGCAAGGTCAAATACACAGGTCAAAGTAGTAGAACAGGATCAGTTAAACTAGTGGACCACAAAAACTTAGATAAATCTAGATTAGTAGACCTGGATAGGATAAGAAATCTGGAGGATAGTTCTGCTATTATAGCACTACATGTAACTACACACAACCATACAACATAGGGTGGGATAAGATGAAAGTTTTGAAATCTAATGTAACAGGGTGGCGAGTAGGGAAGATTGACGACGGAAGCTTTGTTTATCGAATCAACTGCAAATACCTGTAATAGGAATGATTCAACACCTGAACACCGAGACAATTTGTCAGTGTTTCACGTTAAGGGGATTACCGAATTACTTTGATTTATTGGCGAAACTTTTCATTCTATCTTTCTAAATGTTGTAAATCACTGTGCTACTGAGCCGGTTTAGGTAAATTCTTATTTTTCGTTTATTACTATTAGATAATCTAATATATTTCGAGTAAATTCTAATGGGAAGTTGTTATTACTGGTCATAAGGCTGACGTTGTAACCCGAAACCCCTGTGTTCAATCCTCAGTAGGTTCATGGGTGCTTACTGCTGAAGATTCCGAAAGTAAGTCAAAAAAGCTCTCCCGCACTCCTAGATTTCCCATTGTTATATAACTGATATTATTTTTTGATGAGTTGAGTCAAAAGTTGATTTCGAAACCGTTTTATTCAGAAACCACTGAAAAGGAGGGAGTATTGGGCAGTTGTTTCGTCCTTGTTTGCGACTGTTCTGTAGTACGCACTTGTGACTTAACTAGTGGGTCAAACATAGGATCTTCAGGCTGCAAGTTGAGCTCGTTGATTACGCAATCAAACCAACACTCGAAAATTGATCTGATACTCACTAGGGACTCAAAAGTGGATGAAGTTTCCTGGAGTTTAAGTGAGAGATCGGGATCAGTGGGAGCCACTAAGTTAGGTATTAGGATAGAAAGTCGCCAGCGATATTGGTTGGTTCTTACGCTTTATATCAAGAACTGACGGAAGTTACAGTACATGTGCGTGGGTGGTTCAGCTGTAGAATGCTCGCCAACCACACATGTGGTCTAGGGTTCGATCGCCGGCCGACGCACTCCTTCCCCTCACTACACCAATAATAAGACTGGTAGAGAGGGAAGGTTGGGCTTGAGGCTAGAAACCCCATTCGGTAAAAATAAACACCACTGCTACCGAAACTTCAAGCTAGAGGCTTGAAGTAGCCCTATGTTCCATCGGGAACGTAAAGGAATAAAATAAAAATAAAAACAATTCATAAGCTAAATAATACACCAGCACACCTTGACACCTGAAGGTATTGTGTTCAATCCGAGGTGCGGTCATTGGTGCATAGTGTTAGAGAGTCAGTGACCGTAAAGTCGACTATCCACTGGGTCTCAAGTTAGCAGATTTCTTCCTGAATAAGGTAGTAAATGGTCTTTTGAAGAACTTATCAGGAAATTCTCATTTTATTTCAATTATATGGGTAATACATTCATCCTTCGTGAAGATGATTTGGAAAAGGATGCATTGAAGGATTTTCAGCTTTTAAATTCACCCGTGGAAAAGAATGCCAAAGTAAAATTGACTGACTAGCACACCAGACAGTAGCATAAAAAGGAATTTACATATGTAATGTACCTGGACCGGTCAATATATACACATTTTCACAGCTCTCTTCTTCTTCTTTGGTATAAAAATTTGCTAAAGCCCTACAGCTATAACGTCAGAGCTATTTGTTCAGAAGATACGAACTTAATTTATGCTACAAGTTATTTCAAAGCAGCTACCTGAAAAGGTCATCAATAAACATTTACAGCCAAGAAAATAAAGAAGAATTCTTCTATATCTGTTAACCAAAGCCACTATATATACCACTAGAATTCAAACATGATATACCAAGTGAAATAATAAGTTGCAATTTGAGAAAATCGATCCAAATGGCGTTTATTTACCCCCCAACTAGTTGTGATTCCTCATGGGGGATGAAGTACCTTGACTAACCAGCCACCTTCAATTGTATCTCTGTCAGTTAATTTGTTCCTGCAGAGCCAGTTATACTCGCGACTGCTCTAGGCACTTAAATTCTTGTGCACTGGAATCCCTACCAGTTTGCTTAAATGAAGGTGTTTTTAAAATCGTCAAAAATTCTATATTGAACCTCCTTGTCCAAACTGGTCACAAGGCTAATATTGAACAATATTTCTCTACTATGTATGCGATATCGAATAAATTACTAAAGGCCTCCAGATACCAAACACTGCAAACAGCAGAAGCCATTGCAATTTGCTTAAATCAACCAGAGCTCTACGTGGAAAAGAAGCAGGTCCAGCCACTATTTCTACCCTGGCCTTCTGTTGAAACTATAAATTCACTAATTCTGCATTATTTCCCTTAATTGATCTAATATTCAATCAGTTCAGTGTTGTACTAATGCATATTACTGATACTTATGAAATGTAATCTATCGACACTATTGACTTAATGTAATTGAAAGACAGCCTTAATGTTATTAATAACAATAATTATTTAATAATTACTTCCATATAAATGTAGAACCTGTCAGTGATGAATATATCGAAAAGAGTATTTTCAAGAGTTGGTATGTGAGGATTAGATTATTTTTTTACGAGTTGATCACGGATTGATATCAGTTAGAGAACTATTGAAAACCTGCAGCAAATACTGGACACCTGTTTCATCCCACTTTGGGAATTTTCGGCTGTACGCACCGACCGCCAGTGTTCGAACCCAGCACCTTCCGGTTACAAGGCAAGCTAGCTAGCCACTGGGATACGATTCAGTGGCCAGCCCATGAATTCGAACTTCTACCAATTCGTGATTTAGCGCGACCACCAAGCAATGTCATCAGTGGAAAATCCATCCTCACACTTGATTTTTTTCTTTCCTTCACGTTCCCCAGTGGAACATAGGGCTTCAAGCTAGGGGCTTGAAGTTTCTGTAGCAGTGTTCATTTCACAGGATGGGGTTGCTAGCCTCATGCCCAACCTTTCCTCTTCACCAGTATTATTTATGGCTCAGCGAGGTAAAGGAGTGAGTCGGCCTGGGATCGAAACCCGGACCATGTGCATGGTCGGCGGGCGTCCTAACCGCTATGCCACCCACGCACTCACACTTGATTGGATGGACCTAATTGGTCTGGACTTCGGACTAGAAATCCAGGAAACTCCGTCCTATAGCAAGTCACTAGCGAGCATCAGACTTATTATAATTTTCAATAGTTGGTTTGTAAGGATTAGATTTGTTTTCTCGAGTTTGACCACGGATTGACAATCACGAATTGGTAGAAGTTAGAATTCATGGGCTAGTCACTGAATCGGGTCCCAGTGGCTGATTGGTAAATGAGCTTGCCTTGCCTTGTAACGAGAATGTGCTGGGTTCGAACACTAACGGTGACTGCGTACTTCCAGACTAGGATGTACCAGCTGTCCAGTACTCAAATACTGTTTTTCACGTGTTCTCTAACTGATATCTATGCGTGGTCAACTTCGAAAAGAATATTCTTTGTTTTTTAAACATATTTAAATATATGTATATATTACTTACCGTATTATCAATAGAGCTATTATAGGCTCTTTTCAATAGCATATTCTCCATAGCTTTTGCATCAAGATTAATTGATTGTCTCACTCGACTTCTTAACCGATTCGATAGATTCATTTCAATCTGTTCAATACGTTTTATACTGAACTGTGTATTCTTCAACAATGGTAATGAATATATAGATAGATAGAACATATACCGAAAATTTGGTAAATAGATTAAAAATATTGGAAAATGACATGAATAAATAATCGCGTCGAATGAACTAAACAACTTTGATAAATGCACTAAACGTTTAGCATACAATGGATAGATTGCGGCATAATTTTCAAAATCTGATTTCTGGCGTAGAATTATGACAACAACAAGTGGTACAGAGAAAAATAAGAAGACATATGTAACTAGCAGGTGACCAATGATACGTCTAACTTCATTTTGTGGATTTTGATAATAGCCTTGTAGATTTCGTGTACTACTCACAGACTGGCGTGGTGTTGAACTATTCATATAATTTAATGCAGTATTAGTATTTGTAATAGCAATTATTGTATTGACACTATTACTCGGCGTACTGTCAACAATTTTATTGATTGTCATTGTTGTTGAACTACCTCTACGCTGATTACCATTCGAGTAGGCAGTATTTCTGCCGTGAAGATTTTGACTACCGCTACAATGCAATGACTGTCTAGTTTTAGCTAGTGTACGTAGACGCAGGACAATTAAACAGTTGATAATAGCTATACAACTAGTCGGGAAAATATGTCCACCTACAATGGATAAATACAGACTGTATTGAACACCGAAATGTGAAGAATTCACATACTGGCATGTATGATTAGCAATCGATGAAGTACCATCATTATACGTTAAATCGGAATATATCAGCTGAGGTAGAAATAGCAGCATACATATGCCAATGACAAAGATAATTGACAAACGTGGCAATAGCAAGCACATATCACCACGAAATTTGATCGGTTTGTATATTGTTAGCAGACGATCTATGCTGAATATCACCAGCAAGGCTCCAGAGATTAATCCCGCTGTCTTGGGTACATAATTCATTATTTTACAGGTGAATGAAGACAGTGTGTCAAGTTTGATAAATATTGTACAATCACTTGCCCAGGTTAAACCACGTCCGAGAAAATCATCCAACAGTGTATTCATAATTAAATCGATAATCTGAAATGCTGTAATCCATATCACATAGATGTTGAAACGCGATGGTTGTAACTTTTGCATTGAATAAAAGGTATTGATAACAAAACTATTTCCTATAATACCGAAGACAATCAGAATTGGAATGATATATGCGCGAAAATTCAACATGACTATCTCTTCGAGTAGAAATTCCCTTGAGGTGTTTTGTACACATGGCATTATTGATATGGATGATGTGTTGGGTGGTATTTACCAGTCTAGTGAATCAGTCTTTGTATCTTTTTATAGTGTTTTATTGTAATAGTGATGAATTCCTGAGATGGATTCGATGAAGAACAATATTCATTAAACAATTTATGTTTAATTTTATCATTTGTTATAATGACAAAAAGAAAATGCAGATTCTTATTCTGCATCTGTCTACATGATATGATACTTTTATTTCGTGGACTATGATTGGCTAATGGCAATCAGAGATATTGAACAATTTAGGCCAATCAAAATGCAGCAAAAACCTTTTCATAAAATATCATTTGGAATTTTTTATAAAAAGTGTAAGTTTGGCTTGCTTACTTAAAATTTGGGCTGCCAAATACCTCCATCAATGTACATGTTGCATATAATTTTCCCTGTTCAATTTGTTTAAATCTAGTAAAATATGACCTTTAATAGTATTTTGTACTCTAGCGAGTATTTGAGACATTTACAAATCTGATGCCCGCTAATGACTTGCTACAGGACAGAGTTTCCTGGAGTTCTGGTGAGAAGTCGTGACCAGTGAGGTCTATCCAGTCAAGTGTGAGGATGGAGTTCCCACCTATGACATTGAGTGGTGGTATCGCTAAGTCAGGAATTGGTAGAAGTCAGAATTCATGGGTTGGTCATTGGATCGAGCCCCTTGTGGCTGAATAGTATACGAGCTAGCTTTCCTTGTAACCGGAAGGTCTTAAGTTCGAACTTCGGCGGTGGGTGCATACTGCCGATGATTCCCAAACTACTATGTAACAGCTGTCCAGTATTCCCCGCAGGTTTTTAATTGTTCTCTAAATGATACCAATCCGTGGACAAACTCGAAAAGAAGCGAATCTGCTACTTACGAAGAATATTCTTTTCATTAATTTCTCTTCAGGTTCTTATAATTATAAAATATAATATTTGTTGTCGTTACAATTAAGGCCAGTTATGCGGCAGGTGCATTTTATTTAACGTAGAATAACAGATTAGTTATGAGGTGTCAAAATAAGTAGTCGTATCTGTTTGACAAACGTGCTAGGCTGAAATCCATTACAAAATATGGTAAAACGGGAGACAATGGTGGTGATTAATCATAATAGATTTGTAGAGTGTGGGGTAGGAAAATTGGCAAGTCAGTTCAAGGTTATAAAAGGTGTCAGGTGAGTGGCTAGTACAAAGTGGTCTGTGTTAGATAGGAGTTAGTAAGACTGCAATGAGAGGTTCATTATGAAATAACAAATATGTGAAATGAAGCAGGTGGAGGCATATATTGAGAAAAAATAAAATATCACTGATAATAAGAGTGCTCCTTCCCCTTAACCCTCTTGGTTTATTCTTTTCCTTTGCTTATTATTACAAATATTATTATTACAATTATTATTATTGGTCATTATTTTATGCCCTTCATGCAAACATCCTCTCAATAATATCGAATTTTTCATTTATACTATTCGGACTTATTATTAGTGATATTATCTCTTTGCTCAATATATGCCTCCACCTGCTTCATTTCACATATTTCACATATTTCATAATGAACCTTTCATTGCTGTCTTGCTATCTCCTGTTTAACACACACCACTTTGCACTAGCCACTCACCTGACACCTTTTATAACCTTGAACTGACTTGCCAATTTTCCTACCCCACACTCTACAAATCTATTATGATTAATCACCACCATTGTCTCCCGTTTTACAATATTTTGTAGTCGATTTCAGCCTAGCACGTTTGTCACACAAATACGACTATTTATTTTGATACCCCATAACCACTAATCTGTTATTCTACGTTAAAAATGTATCGGCCGCATAACTGGCCTTTATTGTAACGACAACAAATATTATATTTTATAATTGTAAGAACCTGAAGAGGAGAAATTATTGAAAAGAATATTCTTCGTTCAGATTGACTTTTAATTATCAATATGGGAATATTCCACACTATCAAAACTCATAATACTTACAGATAAACTCTTGAAAATTTTCAAAAACTGTTGTTTCGCAAATTTCTTCTAAACTTGAGAAAAAGTATTATCTTCGGTGGAAGCTTGTCCCAGTACATGACATAACTGTTCCTGTTTTGTGTCCTTGGTTGACAAAATGTACTCCCGAACTTTTTATAACTGACATTCAAACAAATGTTGTAGATTTCTCGAAGGAGAAAAAGAAGAGATATCATGATGGTGGATTGGTTTGCACTTGAGGTCATATAGAACTGTGCTGAATGATCTACTGTCGATTATTATTTTATTTGAAGATCCTTGACGAGGAGAAAATATGATGTAATACACTCCGATGAATATTCTGTACATTGAATTAACACTGTCTGGAGTGAAGCGGTTATTTTTGTTTACATGGTACTTTTGTCATCTACACAAAACATTATTGGTATTCAAGATAGAAATTTCATATTGTGGAAATTCTTACATCGGCACACAGAAAAACTAGTCAACATTCGAATGACTTTCCGTATTAGATGTATAATAAGAAGAAATTGACATTAAATATAAATCAACTGATTTGAATCCGTGATCAGCCCTTAAACAAATCAAATCAGCGACAAACTTACCCTTGAAAATAAATCTGGTGTTTGTCAGTGACTTACTGAAGGACGAAGTTGCCTAGAGTTCTGGTGTGCTGTGACCAGTAGGCGCCACCGGATGGGGTGTATGGGGAGAAATACTATTTGATGACACTAGGTGTTGGTTGCGCAAAGACCGCTAATTGATGTTAGTTGGGATTCATGGACTTGTAATTGTTTTCTATCCCAATGGCTGAATAGCCAATGAGCTCATCTCAAAATGTGAAGGTCCTGGGTCCGATCCCTTCGGGTGCACATTGCCCAAGTGTCTCAAGCTAGTAAGAAATGGATTCCACTACAATGTGTTTTTCAATGGTTCTCTAACTGACATCAAACTGTAATTAGACTTGAGGTAATATTTGAAACAAAACTGAGTTGTTGGTTCAGTTGAAGTAGAATTCTCTCCAACCACACAGGTGGTCCGGGGTTTAATTCTTGGTTGGTGCATTCCTGAATCACACTTAGTCAGATAAAAGTGAACCTTGGACTGGCGAGACTTCATAGGTGAAGCTTGAAGCCAAATGTCCTACTCGGAACGCCAAGGGATGAAAAAAAGAATTGAAATTCATCATGAGCTGACATCTGTTGAAGAGCAGTTGAACATCCTGGGGTTACTTTACAGCTGTTTCGTCCTAATTTGAGACTCTTTAAGCAGTGCGCACCCACCGGGGTTCAAACCCACAATTTCCGGTTACAAGACGAGCTCGTAGATCATGAAACCACCATTAGATCGGCTCGTGAATTCCAACTCCTGCCAATTCACAATATAGCTAATGTTATCAGCAAGTATTTTCCTCACAGCCAACCTACCATACCCCACTAGTCCAGGGTTTTCCAGTGCTTCTCCTGCAGATAACAGATCATGATGAAATCCTGTGAACAATCAAATCCCTGAAAATTCATTTCACCAATTACAATCACCTGGAAGACAGATAAGAGAGAAAAAATCAATATTAGAAAAGTCCTTCTCTTGGAAGTGCATATTTATGGTGCGCGCCACTACACATTCAGTATGTAGAATAACATGTGAAGGGAAGCAATGATAATTGTAAGCTAATGACGAAGAGAATAGCGAAAAACGGTTGCAGTATCAAGAGGAACCTCATTATCATCAGACAAAGATGATTGAAAGATGCCTAATATCAAAGGAGATGATATTATTTTCTAACACGGAACTGAAACGAAAACTCATCAGCTTTTATGTGTCCATTGTATTTTCTTGCAAAAAACACTGACTCTATCCTTACCAGCCTTACTATCCTCAAGGTTACTAAACAATTTTGGAATAATTAATTTTGTTTAAAGCTCTCTACCATAGAAAATCGAAAAAGTGAATCAGTCAATAGTCTCTTTTCAACGAATTTAACACAAAAGTGTGCAATCGTACATACAATAGTTCATAAAGTGTATAAATCTTAAAAAGGGTGAAGAAAACATAAGATTAGTAAGCAGTTAGATCATTACACTGTGTATCGGTGGCTTACAGGTAGAATGCTAGACAAACACGCATGTGGTCCAGGGTTTGACCACCGGTCGACGTACTTTTTACCTGGTTAAGCCGGTAATAAGACTGGTAAAGATGGAAGATTGGCCATGAGGCTAGGAACCCTATCCCATAAAATAAAATCACTGGTACGGAAAATTCGAGAATGTATCTTGAAGCTCTATCTTCCAGTAGGAACATAAAGGAATAAAAATAATAACAAAAGGATATTACGCAATCAGATAATAACTACGGCATGATGCCACCGGAAATTGTTCAGAGTGAAACTACTACTACTAATAGTAATAGTAATAAATGGGTCAAAGTATGACTGCGGATTATCACACGTTAGTATAGACGGATTAAGACCATGAAAGAAGGAGGCATTGAACAAACGTGTTTGTGTAAAAAATTGTGACTTTTCTAGATTGTATTGGCCAGATTTTCATTTGTTGGGCCTATTATAGCCACACTTCTACCCCTATGTAACCATGCAGGATAGTGTTTTGGCAACCTCTTGGACAAAACTTGAGTCAAGGAATTGGCGTATTTAGCTTCACAAGAACAGGTGAAACAATAACCTCGAGCTGGATAAGTTTCAAATTAAGTTGTAAATTCAGAATTTCATTTATGGCTTTTACATTTATAAATACACACTGAAGTGGCGCGTTCAAATCTGCAGTTTGTCCTTCACACAAACATTGATCATTTGTTGGCTTTAGAAATTGATCTGTACCTCGGTCGCAAGGAAGACTTTCCTCAGTGATCTGGATGAGCAATTCTTCAAGAGAAAAGGGGAAAAAGAAGAGGTATCATGATGGTGGATTGGTTTGCACTTGAGGTCATATAGAACTGTGCTGAATGATCTACTGTCGATTATTATTTTATTTGAAGATCCTGGATGAGGAGAAAATATGATGTAATGCACTTCAATGAATATTCTGTACATTGAATAAACACTGTCTAGAATAAAGCGGTTATTATTATTATTAACGTATCTTTGTATGCCTGTTATTTTTGCCATCTACACAAAGCATTATTGTTGTTCAAAATGTCATGCGCTTGATAGAAATTTCATAT